GTGCCAGAGCTGAGGGCGTGGTGACGTTTGCGCTGCATAAATTGTCTGCATTTGGCAGGTTTGTAAATTTACCTCGGTGTGGCCTGCAGTATGGAGAGAGATAAGTTTATTACACAAGGGAAAGAGTTTAATTTGGAGGGGAAGGAATTGAGAACGTATGTTGATGAGTGTGTGCGTGAAGCTAGAGATGAACGAGCGGCAGCAAGGAGTGCCGAGACTGAAGTAATAGCTCAACAGATTAGACTAGAGGAACTAAGGAAAACTAATGGGACGGGACCTAGTTCACAGTCGGGGCACCCACGTAGTAGGCCCAGTATTCCTCCTCTTCCAGTTTTCCAAGAAGGAATGGATGATATTGACAGTTATTTGTCTAGGTTTGAGAGACATGCCGTAATTGTAGGGTGGGATAAGTCGGATTGGGCACTCGCAATTTGTGCTTTGATGTCGGGTAAGGCTTTGGATATTATTTCAAGACTTACAGTTTCCCAGGTTAAGGATTATGACATAGTTAAATCCTCACTTCTAAAAGGATATGATCTTACGGAAGAAGGGTATAGGACTAAGTTTAGGTATGTTAAACTCCATCAGGGGGAAACCTATGTTCAATATGCCCATAGAATTGAGAAATACTTAGATCGATGGATTGATCTTAGCTCTTATGATGACAATGTTGAAGGTCTGAAGAGCCTGCTCATCCAGGAACAGATATTTAATACAAGCAGTAAGGAATGCCTGATGTTCGTTAAGGAACGTCATCCTGGAAAGCATACAGAAGTATTAACTCTAGCTGATCAATATCATGATGCTCATACAGATTTGAGGGTAAGAAGGGTGAAAGCCCAGCAGTCCAGTTCTAACAGTTCAAATAATACTAAGAGTCCAAACAGTTCTACTAGTTCAAGTAGTGATAAAAGATCAAGTAGGTCTGAGAATCCAACCAACTCTAATCTTTCGAACAAGAAATGTTACACTTGTAATAAGTTTGGACATCTTTCTTTCAATTGCCCAAGTGGAAAGAAAGGTCGACGTGAGATGGGATCAAGTCTCGTCAAAGGCAGGTCAGCAGATGATACATCAGCCAGACATGATGCTGCAGCAGGACCTACTGACTCCAGAGAGACAGCTCATCCGGATGACTCGAAGGGTTTGAGTCTCATCGTGAGAGAAAACCTCACCGAAGATGGAACCGGAGTGAAGCTAGCATCTGGCGACACCCTCCCGGTACTATCAGCAGCAGCGAGTGGTTCACCAGTGGAGATGCCAGTCATCAAGGGAATGGTGAACGGGAAGCTCGTGGATGTTCTACGTGACAGCGGTTGTACGACTGTCATTGTTCGGCAAGACTTGGTGTCGGAAGAGCAGTTCACTGGAGAACAGCGGACTTGCTTGCTCATTGATCGGACGATCAGAACCTTCCAAGTTGCAACGATCGAGCTAGATACTCCTTTCTTCACAGGTAAGGCAGAAGCTTTGTGTGTGCTAACACCCGTGTATGATATTGTACTAGGGAACATCTATGGAGCCCGGCAACCAGCTGACCCAGACCAAGACTGGAAGCCAAAAGATCATCAGGCCAACGCAGTAGAGACAAGAGGACAGAAGCGGAAGGCAGGACGTACGAGGCCTCCCCTTCAAGTACCTGATTCACTGAATGACATTGTGTCTGTTGATGATCTAATCCAGGCCCAGAAGGAGGACAATGCACTGGATGCTTCCAGGAAACTCGCGGAAAGTGGAGAAAAGAAGATAAGTAAGAGTGGAAATTCGTCTTACTTTCTCGTTAAGAAAGATGTACTCTATAGAGAATATATTGATGCAACCCCAGGGTCAGATGTACTCGTGCAAGTTGTGGTACCCACTAAATTCAGGAATCAAGTCTTGAAGCTTGCTCACGAATCTATTCTTGGTGGTCATTTTGGAACTAAAAAGACCCGTGATAAGATTTTGACTCACTTTTTCTGGCCAGGTATGCATGCAGATATAGTGCGGTATTGTCGGTCATGTGGACCATGTCAGCGTACTTCGCCTAAGGGGAAGGTTACGAAGGTGCCTCTGGGATCAACCCCTCTCATCGATGAACCTTTTAGACGTGTGGCGATGGACCTGGTTGGACCGATAGAACCTGCTACTAGCAAAGGTAATCGGTACATTCTTACCGTTGTAGACTATGCTACACGTTACCCAGAAGCTGTAGCACTTCGCAGGATTGATGCACAGACAGTTGCAGAGGCACTGATGGACATCTACTCCAGGGTGGGGATACCACGAGAGGTGTTGACAGACCGGGGCAGCCAATTCACATCAGAGCTGATGAAGGAAGTCAGTCGTCTATTCTCCATCCGTCAGATGACGACTACATCCTATCATCCCGCTTGCAATGGGTTGGTTGAACGTTTCAACGGTACCTTGAAGTCTATGCTCCGCAAGATGTGTGAAGAACGACCCAAGGACTGGGGTAGGTTTTTGAACCCCCTCTTGTTTGCTTACAGAGAGTCAGTGCAGGAGAGCACGGGATTCTCACCCTTTGAACTCCGGTTTGGGAGAGCAGTTCGAGGCCCTCTTGCTATCCTACGGGAGCTGTGGACTGGAGAGGTTGATGAACCGGATACCAAGACTACATATCAGTATGTATTGGATCTGAAAGACAGGCTGCAATTGACTTGTGAAGTTGCCCAACAGAATCTCAGCAAATCAGCAGAGAGGTACAGGAGACAGTACAATAAGAAAGCAAAGGAGAGAAAGTTTGAAGTTGATGATGAAGTCCTTCTTCTACTTCCGAGTGACAACAACAAACTGTTGATGCACTGGAAAGGACCCTTCAAGGTGGTAAAGAAGATAGGACAAATGGACTACAGAATTGATAAGGATGGAAAGATAAAAACCTTCCATGCAAATCTTCTGAAGAAGTACTACAGGAGAGAGGAGAGTGCAGGTGGGTTTGATGTTGCTGGTGTTTCTGTTGTGGATGATGGCTTGTCTGAGGAATGTAGCGAAGGAGAGAATGAAGATGTAAACCATTCTTCGAGAAAGGATATTCTTCATCTCCCCAATCTTACCCCAACAGAATCTCTCAAAGATGTGCAGATCAGTCCACATCTAGATGATAAGCAGCGTGAGGAGGTCAACTCTCTTTTACGGGAGTATGAAGAAGTTTTGACTGATATGCCGGGATTGACAAACTTAGGTAAGCATGACATTAAACTTGTCCGTAAGGAACCCATTAAGAGTAAACCGTACCCATTACCACATGCTTTGCGAGGTAAGGTGAAGGAGGAGGTTCAGAAGATGATAGATGTTGGCATAGTTGAATCCTCGTCTTCTCCTTATGCATCCCCGGTAGTGATGGTAAAGAAGAAAGATGGGACGATCAGGTTTTGTTGTGATTATCGTAAGTTAAATCAAGTTACCGTAACTGATGCAGAACCGATACCTGATCAGGAAGAAATATTTGCAAAACTTTCTAGGGCCAAGTATTTCACAAAGATTGATCTAACCAAAGGGTATTGGCAAGTACCCTTAACAGAGGAAGCCAAGGAACTGACAGCATTTGTGACACCAGATGGTTTGTATCAATTTCGAAGCATGCCATTTGGGCTAGTTAATGCTCCGGCAAGCTTTAGTCGTATCATGAGGGTTTTGCTCCGTGGCTTGCATGGTGTAGACAATTTCATTGATGATATTTTGATCCATACAGTAAGTTTTGAGGAGCATTTAGATACCCTCCGTGAGGTGTTCGAGAGACTGAGGAGAGCAAACTTGACAGCGAGGCCTACCAAGTGCACTATAGGATGTGTAAGTATCGAATTTCTTGGTCATCGAATAGGTCAAGGAGAGCTTCGACCAGTGCAAGACAAAGTCGATGCAGTTCAAGGAGCTGCGAGACCTAAGACCAAAAAGCAACTTCGATCCTTTCTAGGTCTTGTGGGTTATTACAGACGGTTTGTTCCCAACTTCGCAGCATTAGCAGTACCACTGACTGACCGAACAAAGAAAGGAGAGCCACTTCTAGTGAAATGGGGAGATGCGGAAGAGGCAGCTTTCACTACCTTGAAAAAGAAACTTGCTAGTGAACCCATCCTCCATCTTCCGGACTTAGATCTTCCTTTCATCCTGAGGACTGATGCCTCAGATCATGGTCTCGGTGCAATTCTGCTACAAGAGACAGAAGGGAAGAAGTTCCCTATCGCCTACGCTAGTAGGAAACTTCTCCCAAGAGAGCAGCGCTACTGTGTTATGGAACGTGAATGCTTAGCAGTAGTCTGGGGTGTTCAGAAGTTCGAACCATACCTCTACGGCAAGCATTTTTAACTAGAAACTGATCACCAGCCACTGCAGTGTATCGCGAAATCAAAAGTCGCGAACTCAAGGATTCTGAGATGGGCTCTGGCGCTTCAACCGTACCAGTTTAGCATCACAGCTATCAAGGGCAGTGAAAACGTCGGTGCAGACTACTTAAGTAGGATACCAGAAGTAAAGCAGGAACAAAAGGTTTTCTTTTAATAATTATTATTGATCTTTATATTTTCCTTTAAACAAATTTTCCTTGCATAGAATGAGAAAACCACTCTGAATTTTTTTTCTGAAATTATATAAATTTCTTGAAGGAAGGGGAGATATGTCACAATGTGACTGGGATTTCTTTTTTAGACAGAGAATGTAATGGACAGGTGTTAGATAAATAGATGTTGTTGGTAGCAATTTACTAGGTCAACTAACTTGGGTCTCTAGTAGAGCAGGTGTCTGTCTTTGTCTGTGTGTGGGGAAAGGATGAGGAGAATGTTAATAGGAAAGTTTTGTATAGAGGATTCAGTAAAAGGGATTTGGATGGACAGTTTTGGCATGAGTGGAATACAAAGAATGTTAAAGAGGTTACTATTGAGAGAGCCAACGTGGATTAGAGATTTAGGGTAGTTTAATCAGATTGCACATGAGATCTCGAGAGGAGCAGACCTTTCAGAATTTGGTCTGATTTTGGGAGTAAATGAGGGGTATTGGCCACGAAGGTAAATGTTACAGCCACAGGCTATAAGCATGCTGTTGCTGGCATAGACTTTCCCTATACTATGGGACCAGGCAAGAACCAGGCAGCACAGGCCGACGTGGTAGAAGCCTCATCAGCCCTCGCCTCATCTTGAATCATCATTTGAACATCTGAACTGTAAGTTACAGAAATAAATGTATTACCTTATTTGTAATTATCTGGAAGGAAGGTTAATTTCATACATTTCATACATTTCATAAAGAGAAAGATATTTTCCATGTACTACGAGATAATGGATTTCTGTGTTTTATCTTGTTTGTTGAATAAGGAAGACTTAACCTTGATTATTTTGTTTGCTTAGAATATATGAGGTTTAAGAAATTGTATTGCACTAAAAAAAGTTATACATGTATAACTATATGTAAAGACATAGGTGTTATTCTATAATTTCTAGGTGAAAGATACCGTACATGGTCATTTATAAATGTCGCCTATTTTAGTGGTTTATGTCAGTGAAGCTAAGCTCTAGAGATTGTAAATGATTGTTGTAAATTGTTAGGATTTACATCGCTATAGCTATCGTGTTTATTTTTGTAGATGGTTGGCTATTTGGTTTCCATTTAATTCTTTTAGGGACAAGCTGGGTTCGTAGCCATAACCCTAGGCACCATCAGTGAATGGACATGTGTTCGTAGTCGACACGCTCAGGCAACCTACTCGCGTCAAGTCGTTGAGTCAACGCCCAGTGCTGTCGTACACCGGTCAGGCTTAGCAGGTCATGCATCATATCGCACCGGGTTACTACATACACCAGAGTATTTCGTTCCGCCTATTCAGAAACAGGAAGAGGTGGTATTTACGAACTCTAAATCGGGACTCTCTAACCCACAACAGTATACTTTTTATATAAAGACCGGGCTAGAGACGGTGGGTGATTAACTGTATGTTATACCTCGAAGGATGACCTGGTCATCAGGTAATCTATTTTCCTTTGGAAATATGGAGAATTATATTGTGATATAATTGAGTACCGATAAGACGACATAAACAGTGATAGGATATACTCCTATCTAAGTTCACAGTGATTCTGAAACATTTTATTTTTGTCAACTATTTGCATGTTTAATTATATTGAGCCGATGGCTCTTAAATAAACTGTTTGTACCCTATATTCTTACTCTTGAAATTGCTTGATTTTCTTGTGATACATACTCATTTCATCAGAACCTAATTTATCGTCAGACCATAATAATTTTCAGTATTTAAATCTGACAGTCCTAGACCGGGAGCCAGTGGGGGTCAACCTATAGCTGGGAAGGAAACCAATTTTAATGTGCACAGATGTAAAGATCGCATCCACATGAAAAAATTGACCGTCTGGCATGTTCTAATGTTATGTAAAGGTATTACAAATCTACACCCCCTCAGTAATAATATGTAATATCACTCAGTATGCCCCAATACAGATAAGACCCAGCCTGCGAAATACCAGACCTCCTTCCAAGACATTTGTTTAATAACTTATTCCAGCTAAATAAACCACGAATTGTATACATCTTTAAAGTGCCCCTAAACCACCAAAACAAAAGACTTCCTGTCTTCCTCCCAATAACCAAAGCCCCCCTTGTTTGGTAAGACCCTTTCCCAGAACAGTGTTAGCTAGAATTGACTTGTCTTTATCCCTTTGACACAATGTAACCTACCCTGATATTCCTTGTGTCCTCCTGTATAATTAGGAGATGTTCTGGCTTTCTGGGAGGAGAAGAGTTCAGACCATATACTTTGTCTGCTCTATATCTTGTAAATATACTTGTGAATCTGGACTATGCGACTCATCGTTTTAGAGTTATAATAAATTATACTCTTGCATATTACACTTCAAAGAAAGTCTCAGCATCTCTTTATTTCATGTACCTCTCAATATTCCAATAACTTTACGACACCGATCCCAAACACGACATGGTGGAGGACCCGGTTTTAATTGGAAAGAATTGAAATTAGAACTTTTCTTCAATAAAGTACGAGATCGAGGAGAACCAGCGACTGAACATTTACACACAAATTGCCTTGGAGTTTTTAAACCTACATCTCTTGGAAAACGACATCAAATACAGAAAAATTAAAGACTCGACCAACGACAACGATCAACATCAGACAGTAAATGACGATGACGACTTCAACCAGATCGCTACTAGTATGACGGAGCCCTCATGAAGCTCAACCAAGAAACAGTACTGATGATGACATCGACGACGAACTGGATCTTGCCGACGACACAACCGATGACTACTCCCATGCACCAATAGCTGCAGCACCACGTTAGACAGACCAGGAACGACATCGATGAACAAGGACAACGCCAAGGACTATGATGAAGGCAACGACGCCCCACTGTGACTTCACAACACCCAGAAATTTTGATCAATAACTTTAACTTTGGAAACTGAACTTTCAACTTATCCTGTTTTTTTTTCTTCTTCTTCTTCTTCATACTTAATGCATGCTCCGCTGTTTTTAAATGTTAACACACCAGACAGATTACTATAGTTGGGTAAGTGAAACACTTTTTTATTGTTCCAGACTATGAGTGAGAGTGAGAGATTGAAATAATAGTAATTTGATTTAATGCTCCATTAATTTGTGCTTTTGCTATACAATTTAACGATTGTTATGAAATTGTGCTATTATTACTTCTATCTTTGAGAATATAGCTTCATAGATAGTATTAGTATTGAAATTGTTTTGCTACACCTAACTTAATCGTAATTATACAAACTGATCATGCCTTTAACTGACGATCAAACTACCACGACATCGACTCCACCCAATAATGGCACAACCATGCCACGACATACAACCCTCCGATCGACTGACTTTCTCCCGTCCCGGTTTACCGGTGACCGACTAAATAGGGATGACTCGACCGCACACTTTTTAACATTTGATGACTACCTCGACGCACACGACGTCGACTCTACTGACCCAGACCAATTCCCGACAATACTTAGGACATTCCGACGAACTTTACAAGGACAGGCCCGACTTTGGATCGACGGTCTGACTTTTTCTACTTATACCGACCTAAAGGACGCTTTTGTGAGGAGATTTAGCCCTGCTAAATCCTCGTACAGCCACGTCCGTGACTTTAACACGATGACGATGACCGACGGGGAAAGTGCAGAAGCATACCTCCAACGACTCAGACTTACAGCCACATACATTGACTACGGGGAAACCCAAATAAAACATCGACTACTTGACTCTATACCAGACGACTGCCGAGCTGCGATTTTAATGTCTGCTTCAGCCCCTGACCTTTCTGCGGACGAGATAGCAGCCAAAGCGCAGCTATTTCTTGATTTGCGCCAAGACACTACCCGACAGACAAAAGAATTGACCTTTTCTACCCAAACTGACATTGATGACCTTAGGCAACAACTTAATGCCCTAAAAACGTCCAACGCAACGGACAATGAAAATGACCGTGGACGAACTCCACATCGACGACCATCCACACCTACACGCACAAGCCGTAGCGCGAGTGCCGATCTAACCCACCGCGACCACTACCAACAAAACCGACAGGACCGGAGTCATGATCGAAATCGTGACTTAAATTCAGACCGACGCGGTAAGAACCCATACCGCCGTGAACAGACATATAACCAACGGCCACGACCACGAATGGTATGCAACTACTGCTTTCCAGGGCACGTTTGGCGGGATTGTCGACGACGTCTTAGAGACGAAGAGCGTCAACCTTCGACACCCTACAATAACTACCGACAACCAAATCAACACCAACGCCAACAACAACAGCATCAACGTCAACAGTACAACTACAGACAACATCAACAACAAACATCATATGGCCCACGACCACAGGATTTTTAAAAGGGGAAGAAATTAACAGTGCTCGTTGCCCTTCTTCCCCACCTAAAAATCAAAACAGACCTAATGTAAACTTGACTTCGACTTATTTAGGGACTGATGACGTAGACTTGCAATTAACTGAAAGAAATTTTGTGAAAGGACGCCTCCCAAGTGGCAAGAACATTTTCATTTTATTCGATAGTGGTGCAACAAGAACCATTGTCTCTGCGAATTATGTTAAGTCGTCCTCATACCTTTCTAGCCTCCCTCAACAGAAGTTAGACCCGTTAGATTTAGGATAGGGAACGGTCAATTTCTATTTGCATATTCCATGATCAAAAGGCATGTTGTGATACAGAGTCATAAATTTGAAATTTTTGCTCTGATAGTTGAAAATCTGGTGGGAATTGATATGCTTTTAGGTAGCAATACACTTTCTGATTTGAATGGTGCCCTCCACTTTAGGGATAATACATTTAGGATTAAGTCAACGAAGATTTCATTTGCCCCCTCTAATAAAGTGATTATTGACCCAGGTACTTCCAGGTTTGTGACCATACACGGCAAGACCCCACCCCACCTACGCAACGCTGATGTTGTATTGACTGCGAATAATTACTTAGCCCGACACTGCCCATCTACCATGATAGTTAAATTGATTAAAGGGAGGACCCAACTACTAGTGACCAACTCTACGGACAAGCCAGTCCATTTGACAAAAGGAAGACCTATTGCCTTTCTGGACACTAGTAATCTCATAAATGTGGCACATGACTTACCAATAAGCGACATTCACATGACATTGAACTCTACAAATAATTTGAATGTATCTCAAACTCAAGTAGACAGCCCCCATGTCAACAAAACTAGACTTGATAACTTAGGGAAATACCCCCACCTTGACCCCACCCAACTAACAATCGGACGTTTTCTGAACGTTCTAAAAAGGTTCCAAATTGGTTTCCTAAACGTTTTGTGAAAACGTTCTAAAGACGTCTATTTGTGGTAGGTTTTGGACGTCTTTTGGAACGTTCCAACTGGACGTTTTTTGAACGTTTTCTAAACGTTTTTAGAACTAATAAAAAACCTTTTATAGATTTGCTTTTAAGTGCAAGGACCTGCAGAAAACCTGTCGGACGTTTGGGACGTTTTTAAAACGTTTTAAGAACCTTAAAAACGTCCGGAAAACCTTTTAAGAACGTCTAGAACGTTTCCAGGACGTTTAAAGAACGTCTAGAACGTCCAAGAGAACCTTTTAAGAACGTGTAGAATGTACTGGAAACGTTTTGAAAACGTTCAGAAAACCTTTTACGAACGTCTAGAACGTCCTGGAAACGTTTTGAGAACGTTCAGAAAACCTTTTAAGAACGTCTAGAATGTCCTGGAAACGTTTTAAGAACGTTCAGAAAAACTTTTGAGAACGTCCAATATACAGTGAATTTTTAATAAACGCTAGGTCACACATGTATTTGATTGATTTTATGAATTTATTATCGAACATATTTACAAAATATGTACAAAGGCTTGGCAATACAGTACATCATGTATATTTCAAAAAGAGTATTGGAATTTACCGAAGTGCCCCCGAAAGAACATACAATTCTAATATTCAGAATAAATTGTTATTTGATCAATATCGATTCACAAACGGCTGAAATATCCATAAATATATTTTTATTCAAAATATTAAAAATGCTTGAAGACTACTTTGAAGAAAACAAATCTGAATAGTTCTTTAAAAAGCAATTGATATAGACATTATTTAATTATTATTTTAACAAACATTAAATGCAGAAACTGAAAGTAACGAGTCATTTTGAATAATAACAGGGGTTTTACTTGGCCGTTTGTAATTATTACTTTGCACCGTGATGGTGCAGGTTTTGGTTTTAAAGTTAAGTTTGACCAATACTAAACTATCCCTTTAAAACTATAGATACATAACACATGAACAATCTACAAATAAAACATAAGAAAATGATAGATGAGTTGAAGATATGCCTCATTAACTGGCAAATATGAATACTCATATAATTCACGGGTCTATGTCTCTATGAATATACAAGGCAAGATAAAATGAATACTTTGAATAGTGTCAATAAGTTGGCAGCACACATATAGCAACTTTGGTAACACACTTTATACAAGCAATTTGAGTTATTTACAGAACCTGGCAATTCATGCCAAAAAGATGCCCCAGCAAATGATTAAGAAATCTTTCTATAATAAGTCTTGATCTTTGGTAAAACCAAATAGTGGATTGAATTTTTTGAGTACTATATCAAATTCAATGTGAAT